GCAGCTCAAATTGTTTCTTGCTAATTTAAATATATACATACACAAATTAAGGATAGCAGTATGAAACTTGGAAACATCACAGTTAATGATATATTAGTTACTTAGTCATTTCTTTCTCTACTTGCTATATCATTAGCCATATATTTCCAAAATGTAACCTATTTGCAGTTTTACTGATATATAGAAAATAGTTCAAAATCATAGTGATTATATGCAATTAATTAAAATATTTTAAAATAATAATTAATTTTCTATTACTGGTTAACACTTTATTTGCAAGATGATAAATCTTGTCAGTAAAACTTATACTAACCCTTTAAAACACATTTTAAGTCAAACGTATCCAATATAACAGATCGCCTCTAAAGTATACAAGCTTCAGACACTGGGTTTTATTGCATTTTGGAAGACAGCTGTGTCTGGCCTTAATTACAGAATCTCTCTAGGTCTAGAATTCTTCAAAGGCTATACACAACATAATTGTTCAATGACTTCCTGAACATTTGGATCCTTTGATCATGTCAATGCTTTCAACAAAGACCTTTACCTGTAAATATACTGCTGTCAACCTAATAGAGTAAAAGTTAACACCATAAAGTTCACAGGTTTTCTGCAGCCTAAATAAGGTGACAAAAGCAGATCTTGTGGACTGCAAGACAATGGATATTTACTGCAGTGTTCATATGTAAAGTTGCCAAAGATTGCATCCAGCTCGACTGAACTTTGTAGTCATTTTTTGGTACATATTTCTTTTGATACAAAGAATTATTCTGGTTATCTTTTTCACATTTAAATTATTTTCCAAGCATTCTGTAACATTTATTGGAAGCAGGTTGGGTTGGGTGGGTTGATTTAATCTTTTGAGCACACTGGATTAATTTTAAAACTTTTATGCGATATAGAAAAAATAGTTTATGACTGTGCATATTGTAAGATTTTTTCATGAATTCTAGTATTTGGATGGGAAACCATTTGAATACCCAAGTATTGTAGGGTAGACTGCGAAGTCAGAAACACATTCCAGAGAGAGAATTGTAGATTTCTTTAGAAATGAACTCCTTGAAATCTGTGAAATACACTGCTCTGTCATCCAGTCTTCTCTAACTGCTGCCCTTCAGATGTGATGCAACTATACCTGAAATGGCCCAGCTAGCTAAGAGTTCTGAGAGCTGCCTTTTCAACCCATCTGGAAGTTTAGAGAAATAGAAAGACTGGGGAAACAGGGTTTTTTTTTAAAATTTCTTGATTGCCTAAGAACTTGTTTGGAATGTCATTCCATAAACTCCTAAAAGGCTTGGAATACCAACTAAATCATTCCACAAAATAAAACTTTTATGGTATAAGAGAAACATGCTGTGATCAGGACCTATTTGCCTAAAGTAACCTGGACCTGGAAATGAAATTGTCAATCTCCTTTTTTACTGACCTCAGGGACGGCTTCCCTATGACTTCTAAATGCAACTTTTTACAACAAGCCTCCCAGCTTTCAAAATGATAACCAGAGCAGTTCTTTTTCTTTTCTTGCAGAGAAGTGGAGCTTCAGGAAAACTCGGGTTTCTGCTGGGATGGGAATCAGATGCCGGGATATGTACCCATCACCCTTGCCAGCAGAATGTCTGGGTAGAGCAGATGGGACATATGGCCTGCAGTGCACAAAACCAGCAAGCAGCGCAGGGAGATAATAGAGATGGAACAAAACCGTCTCAGAAAGCAACTGCAGCATACATGGCTCCAGCTGCTGCTCTGGGGAAAGTCTCAGCATGTTCTTTATACTAGGCCTTTTCACTAGTTTGCCATGTTACAGCATAACCTGTTTAGAAACAAATGCAATCAGGCTTTAAGTTTGCATTTCTAGCAGCAGTTCTTCCAGAAAAGAGAGGATTGAAAGAATGGACTTCCACATAAACAAATGTTTATTAATGCAATCTTTTTTTTTTCAGACTGCCTTTTTAAAAATTTGGACAAAAAAACAAAGCAGATAGAATGTATAATCCATTGGGATGGTCTACTTAAACCTTATTGAAATGAGTAAAAATTCCATAGCATCATTTTATCTCCATGGTATGTGTCTAAGGTATTGTTCCCCCCTATTTTTCCATAGTTCTTCATATTTATAAGTGGAGACCTTTGTGGATCTCCTCCCCCAGTGTCAGTTTTGAGAATCACCACAAGTAGTAGCAATTAATTTTGTGGTTCTCTTCCTGCAGGCAATTTCAGAATGGAAAATCTGGATGTTGCCAACTAAAGCCATCTCAATATTCACATATCATTTACAACTCTCCACCCAACATCCACACAGCTACTGCTGCTTAAATATCAGCTAGGCAAGCAAATGCAACTCAAAGTTGAAAGAAAAACATTTTAGGGCAAAGATCAAGCCCATTCTTTAAAAAGAAAGTTATTGAAGCACTTAATAACTCATAGCCTTGAAATGTTGGCCACATTATTTCATCATTTTGTACCTTTTAAGTATAAAGTACCATTAGAATTGGAATCAAAACGTGGGAAAGAGCTGTCAGTGGGGCAGTTTGGGAAATACAGAAGTCCAAATAACAATGAATTCTAAAAGGGCAATCCCTCCCTCTTCGCTAAAACAAAATAGCTCAATGCATCATCAGCCTTTCAGGAAAATGGAGAAACATGGGGCACTGAAATGGCATATTGTGAAGGGGGACATAGAGTTCGGGACAGGAGTGCTATGGTCATGAAATGCAAATGCAATGCACTATTTGCTGAAGGCAAATCACTTCCGTACCACTGCTGAAAAAAAAATACGGATGCATCCACGTAGTCCAAAAAGTTAGATTTGATGTGTATGCATCCTTACATCAAGTAAGGGTGGTCTATAAATAGTGTAAAATCAATCAAATTTATTAGTATTATTACTTATTGA